TAGTGCTATAACTTCTACCGCTTAGACTTTGTTGCTTTTCAATTTTTTCCTAATAAACAATCGTGGTACAAAGCTCAATAAAAATATTAAAAATAAAATGTTAACAAGCCACAATAACATTGACAATTAAAAACTAGTTTGATTAACTTCAGATGGATGCCACATTGAAATAAGACTATCAGCCGCAGATGCTGTAGACTATCATAATTATAAGGGTTGGTACTCAATGGTTTTACTAGCCCTCGTTGACTACCATGATGCAATAATACAAGGTGTTATCAGTTGGCTTCTTCTCGCTCTAATTCCGCCATATTGACTACCTTACGTGAATCAGTGTTACTTCTTTCACTATTCTTTGCCCATTAATATAGTTGAATGCTTTTTATTTTTTCTCAGTATACACACTTTGTTTTGTTAAAATGGTATTTTATCTTATTTTATTTCATTTCATAACGAATACACTATAAAAAGCAAATTTTGTTAATGAGAAAATGTGAAATTTTATATTTTTCCCCCATATGGGGATTCATTTCTTCCCGTTTTTCTTCTCATTCTACTGAGCTAAGGTAGTGTCAAATCGAGTTGTCACAACTGATACCACCTTGTATTATTGCATCATGGTTGACTACAGGTAACCGTGTCATATGTATATCTTATCTATTTTCATAGGTATAGGTTTATGTATATAAATGTTGGAGCACCCGGCCAAATGTTCCAATCGTTGTGCTGGGAGACTCTGCATTTCGCTTTACGCAATTTCTAATGAAGCCTTTTCCTTACAACGCAACAGCCGGAACAGCGCAAAGGCGTTTAATTATCAACTTTCCAAATCTAGAATAGTAGTAAGAGTAGTAGAGAATACTTTCGGCCACTTGAAAGCAAGGTTTAGAAGAATTCGTAAAGGCATTGATAATGACATCAAAAATGCAACGTCAATAAAAAGGTGTCAAAAAGTTTAAGGAGACTAGAAGTAAACAAGTGGCAGTGGAAAATATATGAATTCTGATAAGATTACCCAGACTTATAGAGTGGGTAGTAACTTATACCAATATGGCCAGCGGCGGACATGAGACCTGTGGAAAATGCAAGAAAAAATTTACAAATGATGAATGTATTGGATGTGAAGGGGTATGCCAAAAGTGGTTCCACTCGAATTGTGTGAGCATAACAGCTCCGGAGCTGAGGCTTATATCCAAGAATAGGAACCTGAAGTGGATGTGCGACGAATGCAATGGCCAGTATGTCCATATGGTAGATACTTCCGTCAAGAAAATTATGGGTGAAATGATGGAAAGTATGAAAATAGCTATGGAAAAAATGGTGTCAAGCAAATTAACGGAGTTAATGAAGAAAATGGAAATATTCGGACCAACAACAAGGAGAATGTGGCAACTTATGCGAATAAGGCAAGGAAGAAGTTATCATTGTACACCCAAAAAAGCAGAGTCAGACAAGTGAGACAACTAAGAGGGAATGCAAAGAGAAATTGAATCCAACGGAGATGAAAGTAGGAATTGAAAACGTCAGAAAAATAAGACATGGTGGCATTGCAATAACATGTAAGACCAAGGAAGAAATCCAGAAGATAAATACTGAAGTGATAAAGAAATGGGGAAAGAATACGAAGCTAAAATTTCTGAACTGAAGAGACCAAATATAAGAATATACGATGTTGAAGATGAAATGGAAGGTTGTGAATTGTTAAATGCATTAAAAAATCAGAACCCAGAAATAGTCAAGGCGGATTCTAAAATTGAGGTTAAAATCAACAAGAAAAGTAGGAATACGTATATGGTAGTACTGGAAACTGATCCGCGGACGTTGCGAAGAATGATTGAAGAAGGAAGACTGAAAATCAAATGACAGAGGTGTAGAGTACATGAGTATTTGGCATTATCGCGATGCATGAAATGTTATTCGTATGACCATTGGAGTGAAGCGTGTAAAGGTGGAAAAATATGTGTAAAATGTGGAGGGAATCATCTGGCAAAGGACTGTAAAGCGGCAGCAATACAATGCATGAATTGTGTGAAGGCAAACGGTAAGCTACAATTAAATTTAGATTGTAGCCACAGTGTACTCAGTAGCGAGTGTCCTGGTTATCAAAGAAGAATGAGCATGAAAAGAAGAACAATTATGTATGAAAGCATATAGCAATCCAAAACAAAGGTAAATGAATCTAATAGGCGTCTAATAGTTTCAAATGCTAATGGTCTGATTGCTAAAAGAGAAATGATTCTTGTATTTCTACATGAAATTCGACCAATCGTGGTAATAATTGTTGAATCACATGTAACTGATGTTGATGAAGATGCATTAGTAGGAATTAAGGGATATTCTACACCTTTTCAAGTTTATAATGAGAAAATGTAAATTCATATTGAGAAATCCCAAATTGATAATGAGAAGCGTAAATTCATCTTGAGAAAGTACAACTTCATAATGAGAAATGTAAATTTATCTTGAGAATATATAAGTTGATAATTTGAAATATAAAATCATAATGAGAATATAAAAATTGATAATTGGAAATATAAATTCATATTGAGAATATATAAACTGATAATGAGGAATGTAAGTTCAAAATGAGAATATATAGATTGATAATGAGAAAACGAAAATTCCTTATGAGAAAATGTAAATTGATAATGAGAACATAAAAAATTATATCAATGGAGAGAGCTACAAGTACTTTACTCTGGAGTCTGCGAGCTAATGTCGCGATATTAGTTGAATTAAAGCAAGCATCAAAGGACACTGCCAAAAAAATTTATAATATATACAACCCGAAATTAAAGTTGGACAACGCATTTACACCCCCTCTGTGTCTGAGCGCCCCCGTTTGCCTTTTTATGTGTAACACTTCAGTTGTGGTTATTGCATCAATAAAGTGGACGTTTGGCCCTCTGGAAGCAGGGAGCTGTAGAGTGGCGCGAAGGTAAATTTTTTTTTATCGGCCACGTGACATTCGGCAAAACAAATTAAAATTTGTTTCATCCTTCCACGCTATTTGTTTACCACTTTCGGCTCGTTTTAATTTCTTATCCTGCGAGTTCATGGTTATTGGTTGCGTATGGACTTTTTTGCAACTGTACAGATTGCCCTCGAGATAATTTGCCACTGTGGGTGGTGCTCAATTCTACATTAAACTGGTTTTGTACTTTTCTTTTTAATTTTCCAAGGGTAAAACTACAGTCACCTTCAAGCCAGGATAACATAGTCATCACGTTGTCTTCAGTCAGCTTTTTCGGTCGCTTACACCTCTTGGTTTTGCTTCCGTATCTTCGGTAACGACCCAGCGATAGCCCTGAGTGTACGTATTTTCTCATTATGAATTTACGTTTGCTCATTATCAATTTATATATACTCAATATCAATTTACATTTCTCATTATCAATTTGTATTTTCTCAATATGAATTTATATTTCTCATTATCAATTTGTATTTTCTCAATATCAATTTACGTTTCTCGTTATCAGATTAAATATTCTCAATATGAATTTACATTTCTCATTATAAATTTCTACTTTCTCAATATGAGTTTACATTTCTCATTATCAATTTGTATTTTCTCAATATGAATTTTCATTTCTCATTCTCTATTTGTATTTTCTCATTATAAACTTGAAAAGGTGTAGTATTAGATGTGATTCAGATTCTGTATATACCGGAGGAATCGTAATATATGTTAATGAAGAATTTTCGTATAAAGTAGTGAAAAATCAGAGAAAAACGAAAGAGTGGTGGATACTGGCCATTAAAATATTTCTTAATGCCGACGAAATAGGTACATTTGCAGGCCTTTATAAATCCCCAAGTAGTAGTAAAGGTGAATTTATTGATGATTTCTCACTTATTATGGAAGAGCTGTTAGAGAATAGTCAAAAATATTGTATTATTGGAGGAGATTTCAATATTGACTGGTTGAAAGAGCACGATTATTATACTAGAAGGTTAAATCATGTGTTAGGGGAATAGGTATGAAACAAATTGTGCCAAATGCTACTGGGGTGACCAAGGACAGTGAAACTCTGATAGACTTGGTGATAACCGATAATATAAACATGGAATGTACAGTACTACACACACCAAGGATATCGGATCATTATATAATTGAGCTTGCGATTGGAGGGTTACTCACATGTTCTACAGGTGAGCGACAAAAGTTTCTTATGAAGGGAAAGATTGATTACGAAGTGGTATCTAAAGTAGTACAGAATAAATTAAGAAATAAAAATAGTTTAAACATGGATTGTGGGACAAAATATCACTTTTTAAAAGAAATATTGATTGAGAGTATACAGGAAGGCAGGAGACCGGATATCTGGGTACGAAGTAAACCGTGTCCGTGGTTTTCGGCAGAAATTAAACAACGCTTGGTGGAGAGGGATGTAGCTTATAATAGGTTTCTCCTGTTAAAAGAAACAGGCTACTGGTATTTGGAGGCGTGGGAGCTATATAAACAAAGTAGAAATAAATTTATTAATATTTGGAGGAATGCAAAGAAGAAATATCATGAAGATAGTTTTGAATGACTGAATAAAGAGCCAAAGAAACTTTGGAAACATCTGAAAACTCTATATAGAGCCGAACCTAAGCAAATGAAGAGTGTTATAATTGGAAATCAACATGTGTTTAATGCAGATGAAACAGCAAATGGACTAAATCAGTTTTTTGTTGGTAGCGTAGAGGAAATTGTCGAAACTATTTCCAATGGAAATAGCTACGAAATGGAATTGAGAAATGAAAACATTTCCCTCAGTTAGTTTCAAGATGTAGATAAGGGAACTGTTGAAAAAATTGTCAAAAATCTAAAAAATACGAATGGCCCCGATGGCATAAGTTGTGAAATGATTAAAAAATTGTGGACAGTGGTGGGTGATGAAGTAACAGATATTGTTCAACAGTCACTTGCACAAAAAATGATGCCGAAATCACTAAAAACATCAGTGATTGTGCCTGTTGCCAAAATTAAGGGAAGTGTTCATTGTAATGACCTCAGGCCAATTAATACTCTCCCAGTAATAGAAAATAGTGATAGAGACCTTAGTACACAAAACATTATTAAAGTACATATCAGAAAATAGATTGCTGACAAAACAACAATCAGGCTTTAGGGAGCAACATAGCACAGAATCGGCTTTACAACTAGTTATTGAAGATTGGCTAAAAACAGTTGATAAAGGAGAAGGAATATTTGCAGTTTTTCTGGACTACAAAAGAGCATGTGAAACAATAAATAGAAAACTATTGTTAAAAAAATGAAGGGAATTGTATAACATTACTGGTTGGGTTTATGAATGGTTGGAAGATTACCTAAGTGAAAGATATCAAACTGTGAGATTTAATAATATAGGCGCATATTCATAGTCATATTTAGTACTCAACTAAGTCGAAACTATTCTAAGTCACAACTGAAGCTATTCATAGTCGCCTTAGTTTCGACTTTTCTGGCTAAGTATCAACTTAAAATTTAGTTTTGGCTGCAGCTGCAACTAAGTCGTAACTAGGAAGAAGTATTTTATCAAATTAAGGGAAAACAGACGAAATATGTAAAAATTAAGTTGGTAGAGGGTGATTTTGATAATATTGAATAATCTCCAATTAAAATTTACAAAGATCGATCCATTTTAATCGGAAGATGAAATTAAATGCGTATTACAATTCGAATAAAGCTACATCACAATTTTATAATTGGAATAATTTAGATAAATTCTCAAATAATAAGTCAGTTTCACGCTAGTTCTTTTAAAGTAAATTTGTGCATAACATTTAGATATCTACTATTTGTATGTTTCACAGAATGATTTCGATAAACATCGACTTCACATCACTGCGGTTGTTCTGGCTATTTCACACAATTAACAAGAAAATGATACCTTATTCTTTTGCATAATCATGCAATGAAACTAAAAATTACATAAACGGATGATCAAACTTGACATTATTTAATAAGAATTTAATTTTTCCAAAATATCGTAAAGAAAAATCGATACATTTTCACACTCGTTTTGCTATATCGTAAACTAAGTCGAAACTACTTAGTAGAAGTCTAAAATGCGACTATGAATAGAGGTAAATTTTAAGTTGGTACTTAAATTTAAGTTGCAACTTTGTTAGTTTCGACTTAGTTGCTGGACTATGAATACGCGCCATAGTGTCAGATGGGAAAGAAGTCAAAAGTGGTGTTCCACAGGGAAGTGAACTGGGGCCGTTGTTGTTCATAATGTACATAAATGACTTACCAGGAGTATTGCAACATTTTAAAGTACATATGTTTGCAGATGTCACACTGATTAATATAAGTGGAAAAGATGTACTGGATCTGAGTAGCAAAATTAATGAAGAATTAACTATTGTCTGCGAATGGTTTTGTAAGAATCAATTATGTGTTAATGTACAGAAAACAAAATGTATGGCATTAGGTAAGACTAGATTTAGTTATCAACGCAAACGTCAAGCTGTGAAGCTGTGTTTTTCTGTGATCTGTTTAAATTTTGTGTTTGATAAAGCTGTTTACGCTTATTAAAGTAAAAAATTAAAAAAAGTGTTAATAAACTTCTGGTGCACAATTTAAAGATAAGTAAAACATCAAAATTTCCCGTAAATTTGATTAATTTAACTTGATATTCTTAATTGCATGTGCCGAGTATTTTGTTTCATTTAATATATTGTTGTTGTACAATTGTTTTTGTTTGTGCACATTGATTTTGCTCTTTTTGTCTTTTTGTCATTTCTGCTGTTTCATCTTTGTCACAGCTGTTTGCTTTGTTTTTATTAGGTGTCAAATATACAGTGCATCTAAAACTGTTCGCTAACTGATATTTACCAGCTGATTGGTTCACTGATTAATACATCGTTTTCAAAACCGTTTTTGCTTTTTTGCTTCTAAAACCTAAAAATAAATATAATTTTAAACATGTCGTGTATTTACACCAATTGCCACGTTAAAAGCGACTCCTATGTGTCATGCTGGTTCTGCGATGGGATTGCCCATATAAAATGTGCTGGTTTGAGCGGTAGAGTTTTAGACGCTATTAACGAGGGTAAGGGTCTTCGTTGGTCTTGTCAAAAATGTAGATCAACCGAAGTTGATTTATTTAAATTCTACAGGCAGTCCAGAAATGGTTTTTCTGAGATCGGGAAGGATCTGTCGGCGCTTGTTGAGAAATTTAAGCATTAC